GCACCACACTTATGGGACATTATTATTTGATTAATTCAAATATTTCAAAATAAATGTTACAGTATTATAAGACCAAAGAATTTATGATTTTTTTTTCATTTATGCTTTATTATATACACATATATTTACGTATATTAGTGCTATGTTTTTTCAAAAAGTATGTATACTTATATATTGACACGGGTCAATACTAATACTCGGCCGCCCCATTATGTGAGTGGGGGGCGAACCCGCCTCATTTGCAAGACGAGTACGTTGGGCCGGACCCACCCCAAATGTTTCGGGCCAAAGCGGGTCCTTGCAGGCTGGTTATTTTGACACGCCTATTTAGCATTTATAACTCTTGGCTGGTAATGTGACACCGATGACATAAGGCAACAAGTCTACGATGGTCATCTCATCAATGACCATATTTAAGTAGTGTATTGTGAAACTGTGAATGAATGCCGCAGTGGACATTAGGAAGACCAAAGGCAGTGTCATTTAAAGTGATCAGGGTTCTTTCGGTGTCAAAACTTATGTTTAGTCATTTTATTTTTTAGTAGTCAATAGTCATACTCTCAGAAACTGACAATGTTCTACTCATTGTATGGTAAAATTTTCATTTATGTACCTCGAAATAAATTTCGTAATCACTCATTCCATGAAAATGGGTCTATCTTATATTGAGGTTAAGAATTTTACAATTTTCTAATTTGATCTCGTCTATATAAGTTTGATTTGGTTTGATCTATTTAAGTTTGATTCGATTCAATTGAATAGTATTTTATATTTTACTACATAGTATATTATTCAAGTCTGATTTAATTAGATTTAATCTACTAAAGTCCGGTGTTATAAATAAAATTGTATCAACCACATAAAACTTAAGTAAGTGGTAAGGGAGAAAAAACGTGAATTTTGTTAGGAGGAAAGAAAGATATAGGGGATGAGAAATTTAATGCAGTACAATATGACTCCCTTATGGAGTCATATGGCATAAGTTAACATATCATAACAATTCATATTAAAGTGGGACTCTCCGTTGTAGAAATTAATGGTAAATAAGGAATCACATATCTCATATGTGCCTTCATAAAATGTTTATACATTGGTAGGAAATAAACAAAACGGGTAGTTTTTTTAATCAGCTCCGCTTCCTCTACACTCTACATGCCCTCTAACTGACACTATATACATGTCGTAATTTGTTTAGCAACAGGCTATTTTTTGGTTTTTGTATATTTTATGTGTTTATAGACAAAAATATTAAAGAAATAGCGTGTTCACAAATAAAAACACGTGTATATAATGTGTAAGCCAGTGGCAGAACAAGAAAAACGAATCAAGGGGGTTGGAGCTTAACCAAATACATAACAAAAAAGGTCGATTAGTTTTAAACAATATCATAGTACAATTTTCATATGTAGCTTTGGTAGTTTAAACGAGACTAATAGAGTTACTACGTATTAAATTTTACTCATTTCAAATTTAAATGATGTCAATTTTTCAGGAGTCATATTTTTTTAGAGTGAATTATCTATATAGGAGAAAAAAGTGGCCAAAAAGCACAAATAGGACTACATCTTTTACACAAAAGAGTAGGACAATTTATGTGTGTTTGGACAAATATAACTTTTTAGCTTTTGAAATGTCTTAATTAATAATAAAATCATAAAAAAAAACAAAAAAACGTAAAAGAAATAATAAAAAACGTAGAAAAAAAAATTACAAAATATATACTTCCTCCGTTCTTAAATAAATGCAACGGTCAACATTTTACACTTGCCGAGACACAACTTTGACCATTAATATAAATGATTTTGTATTAGTAAAAAAATTAGATTATGAAAATTTACAATGAGACAAGTTTAACAATATTTTTTTCATAAAATAAATATTATTACATTAATAAATAAAACGTAGTCAAAGTAGAACATGTGAATAGTGTAAAAGTCAAAGTGTTGCATTTATTTAAGAACGGAGGTAGTATAAAATAAAAAAATAATGTTTTTCAAAATAAAAATTAAAAATTAAAAACGTAAAAAAACGCCTCCGCCTCTGCCACCCCCCAGCACCACCAGCTCCCATCACCGGTTGGAAATATGCCAAATTTTAGTTATGCCATAATAATGGCAGATTCAAAGAGAATTTTGGCATTATGAAGAGTAATAATGTCATTTTCTTGGCATTTTCAGAAAAATGGCATTTTTTAGAAAAAATGGAAGAATTTTTACCGATCGGAGGTGCTGGTGCTGGGAGGCGGTGGAAAAGGTATCCATATTTGTTTCTGGGTTTTTACTATTTTTTATTAATTTAAAAAAAATAAAAAAAATAATTTTTTATAAATATTTTATTACTCCCTTCGTCACGCTAAGATTGTCCCATTTTACCTTTTCGGGAAGCCCCACTAAGATTGTCCCATACCATATTTGGTAAAGATTGTGTGGCTCTAAATCATTCTAACTTTATTCTTACTTTATCAATTTAATATCAACTACAAAAACATACTTTTCTTAATAATCGTGTCACCTTCTCCCGTCCCAATCTTAGTAGGACGGAGGTAGTATTTTGATACGATTTTTTATTGTTTTTAAGATTTTATTATGAATTAAAATATTTCATTATGAATTAATACTCTTAGGGATATTTATGGTAGAAATCAATTTTTAGTCCTATTTGGGAGGATTTAAAATGTAGTTGTCCTATTATTGCATTTTAGGGAATCCTTAATCCTATCTAGAGCAATTTCTAAAATTTTTTACTTGTAATGAGTTGTGGAAGCTAAAATATACTCCATCCGTCCCAATTTAAAAGAGCCCTTTGGCTTTAAACACGTTTAAGAAAGTGGACACGTTTGACACTATTTTACACTATTTTGCTTATCAAATAAAGAAATAGGACATTTTTTCAAGACGGACCTAAATGGAAAGAAGGCTTATATATTGGAACGAATCACGGATGCAGTATCAAATCGGAGATTTTTCAGTACTCTACATTCTCAAACTTTCATAAGAGTCGCCTAATGCGCCTAGGAAAATTCTTAGGACATGTTTACTTCACGAGTTACTAAACGGTGCTTATTAAGACCCGCGTTAATAAGCGGAGCATAAAAGAAGCAATGTTGTGAGATCGTGTTTACTTCACAGGGTTTAAAACACCGTTTAACATTAAAATGTCCAAAATAACCCTATACATATATAGACGCACAAACATTCATGAACACAAGTATACAATATAATATGTGGGGTCACCTCGTACATGTACCCATACCCCTAACCCCTTACCCCGCCCTATACCCCCACCCCTACCCTACCTCTACCCTACACCCTACCCTTATCACGATAACGGGGTGGGGTAGGGATGGGGGTAGTAGGGATGGGGGTAGGTTGGGATCGGGGTAAGGTAGGGTGAGGAGGTAGGGTAGGATGGCGGTAGAGTGGGGCCAGGATCAGAGTGGGGCCGAAGTAGGGGGTAGGGTGGGTGGGGCTGGTGTAAGGTAGGGTAGGGTAGGGGTAGATGGCGATAGGGTGGGGTCGAGGTAGAGGGCATGGTAGGGGTGGGTAGGGGTAAGGTAGGGTAGGGTGGGGTCGGGGTAAGGTAAGGTAGGGTAGCGGTAGGGGTAGATGTCGATAGGGTGGGGTCGGGATCGGGGTGGGCCCGAGGTAGGGGGCAGGGTAGGGGTAAGGGGTAAGGTACGAGGATGGAAGTAGTGGGTAGGGTGGGGTCGGGGTCGAGGTAGTAGGGTTGGGGTGGTGGCAGCAGGTAGAGGGGTAACAATAAGGTAAGGGCAAGGGGTAAATTTGGAAACTGAAAAAGTTGAAAGTGCCGCTTAATTAATACATGGGGGTGGTATGCTTAGTTAGCGACACTTTAATCACCTCTTTCGGTTAGTAAGCGGCTTTTTAAGCAGCGTGTGTGTTTACTTCACCTGTCTTACTAATCTAAGAGGCCGTTTGGAAGCACTGTTTTTCGGCTTATCAGGATTATCAGCCAATTTGTTCACCAAACACGTAACTTTGGCTTTCGCGCGCTGAATTGTATAATAAGCAGAAAAAGTAAGGTTGAACTTCATGATATATTTTAAAAAATATATTTTAAAAAAATATTTAAAAAATATTTGATTAATCAAATATATTTTAAATTTTTTTTTTCTTAAATCAGCAAAATCAGCCAATGCAGCCACTTCAGCCAGAACTTCATAAATTTCAACAGAATCAACCAAATCAGCCGATTTTCGTGTTACCAAACAGGTTGTAAATGTGAGTTTAGCAGGGAAGTAAACATCTCTTTAGTGTACATTAATTGTACACAAAGCATACACAAACCTCTTAGTTGCATGTGTACAGAGACAATTCGTTTAAAATGTAGCAGGATTTGATGTCAAAACCCCCTAATTGCATGTGTACATTTTATGTAGACCAAGAATGGCCCAATGCGTCTAACTCCCTTGGCTCCTCCCTTTTGTGTAAGCAACAAAGAGAAATTTTATTTTTGAGAAAACTATCAAATAAGCCCTCGTACTATACCGAAAAAGTCGATTAGGCCCTCGTACTTTACAAACACTCAATTAAGTTCTCAAACTATTAAAAAACGTTCAATTAAACCCTTTTAGTCGGTAAGTAACCGATTTCCCGATTAAATGTAACCCGTTTTCCGGCAGCCGCCGTTGCAGGAGTTCGAACACATCGTCGCCGTCGCTGTCGTCGCCGTTTAACCGGGAAACCGGTTACTTACCGACCAAAATGGCTTAATTGAGCGTTTTTTAATAGTTCAAGGACTTAATTGAGTGTTTGTAAGTACGAGTGCCGAATCGACTTTTTCAACATAGTACGAGCTTATTTGATAGTTTTCCCTTATTTTTTAATAGGAGGTGGCGCACGCGCGTAAAGAAGCAGGGGTTAAGGTACACCTCGTGGAATGCTACTCCATTTAAGAAAGCACTTTCTTATTTATGACTCCATCCGTACTACTTACCATACTAACATCATATATACCCATAATCAATGTATGTTCATCAGATTCTCAAATTTAAGACAGAGCTCAGCAGGGTACGTATTACTCCATCCTTTGATAATGGATCCGTGGGAGCACTAAGCAGATCCAAATCCACTAACAGAGTAGCAGAATCATCACATCAGAAATCATAATAGATTGAAGGGGAAGAAGCTAACTAGGAAGCTGCTGCCATGAGTCGGCTGGCGCCATTAGCAGAAGTTCCTGGTGCGGGCGAGGAATTGCGCAACAACTGCTCGAAGAAATGCCGCACTTGGAGACAGTGGCTGAAAACCCACTTGTCGTCTCTGCACTTGTTCTTCCCCGGCAGGAAATCCGACCACAGGATGCTCCTCAGTGTTCTCGGATGCCCTCTCTCCCCTCTTCCCTTCCATCCCAAACCCCCTCTTTCTCACGTAAGACTTCTCTTCATTCCCTCCTTTCTTCATTTCCCCACTGTTGATGTTTTCACTTTTCATGGAGTATGCCAACATGCTCACTACGGAGCGGAGCACGTTGGTCTGATTGATAGAATGAATCTTCTCTAATTTTTGGATGGGGGAATCATGATCATCATGGTCGGAGTCAGGGCACCAAGTCGCACAAAGATTATTTTTGAAAACAATTTCATGAAATTTTTTATACTAGAAATATATACGTAGTACATTTTTTAAATTTGGGATGAATCGGAACGCTGACCTCCTAGCATGATGATTTTTTTAAAATTGGGGTGGAATGAGAGATACTTTTAAAACGAGCTAAAAATAATAATGTATATTTATTTATGATATTGTGGACATTTCCCTTTATTTTAAGAGTATATATGAGATATTACCCGAAATGGGACTAAATAGGTTTGAAAATTCCAAACATGGAACTGTCATGTTTTTATTCTCAAAATAGGACTAATTACTGTCATATTTTGGCAGTACCAGACTTAAAACATGACAGTATTTTCCAAACTTGACAGTAATTACTCCTATGTTGGGAATAAAAACATGACAGTCCTATTTTGGAATTTTCAAACTGTTTTAGTCCCATTTCGGGAACTTTCCCAGTATATATTACTAAAGAGATTGTATTGGAGTATCATTTTTACCTTTTGATATTAAAGATATTATGTATCCGTAAGTAAAAAAAACATTTTCCTTATTTGAATGCATGCAAAGTTACCACTTATGCAAAGGAAACCTTTTAATTAATGATTTAGTGTTTCCAAAATGTATTTTTTACAGTGAATTCACGATACATTTTAATTTTTTAAAATTATTAAATTGACCTGAAATATTTTGTTTCCCTAATAAATTCATAATATTCTTTTTTTGTTGTACTTTCTAGTCTCTAATAGTATATGTTCAATACTTCAATGTTAAATGTCAACATCCTTGATTGGAATGAGTTTCGAACATATGACCTCCTCGAAAGTGTCACAGTGATGTCATCGAGTCACGAGATACTTGTCAATTCATATTCATAATATTCTTAGAAATAGATTATGGTTGATTGGGAAACCAAGCAAGACATCCTTTTTGTAATAAAAGAAGGTAGCCATCCACTGCGGTATATTGATACTTATGTGCACGTGCGTTTTTCCCCTTTAGACATACATCATAAACAAGTTTTACATAACTAGAAATATCGTTTGTGTCACTCTCATTAAATAAGATGGTAAATTACTAATATTATATATAGGCAATAAACTTCTACTCCATAATATTTAAAAATGAACAAAACCGTTATTTTACATGGCTAAATTTTATATGGGCAATGTCTTTACGTTTTGATTTTTTGGTTGGGCCTGGGCCCAAGAGTCTGGACCATGTTGCTCATGAGGAGTAACCATCAGTACCTACCAGTGGTTATAAGCAACAAAATTTGGTAGCTTCTGTTTTTTTACTTCTAAGTTCAAAAATAAACTATGACTTGGTGGATATCACATTCCTGACCTGTAGTTTTCTTGCTGACTTTGCGGTAACTGGTTGGAATTTTACGCTTTCTTTCACGGATGTGTGGTAAAGATGCGGCGGTAAAGGTCGTTCAGCATTGATGCCCTCTAGGCATAGTCTACAAATAAATATTGACACTCATACAATTTGTGTTTGGCAACACTAGTTGAACCTATGAAATTATTTAAATTATGGGACTCAAAGCTCAATTTAAATCCTCTCCAGAATTAAACTATACCATTTGAGTCCATTTTAATTTGGATTGATCTATTATAGTTTTGAACGGTTTTCGTATATGTTGGTTAGATTTTGTCAATTGAATCGATTCTCAAATTCAAAGTCATAAATCGAACCACCCATAATGGGTCAGTTTTGGTAAGTATCCGATTCGATTTTCGGGAGGAAAGGTCCTTGCTAAAGACAACTTTATTACTAACATACTACATTTGCAACTCAGGATGTTTTTTTTGTCCCGGACCTAATCGGACCATAACAGATCATAATAGACCATACAAGACTTAAATAGATTAGGTCAGACCAGACCAGACTTCCACAATTATAAAATGCACAGAGACCAGACATTTAGCTGATCAGACCAGATCAAACTTAAACAGATCAGACCAGATCAACAAATTTCAATCCAAGTAAAAAATCCTAAGTAAAGTTACATTACTAAAAGTGAATAAAATCAATGTTACAAGACTAAATCAATAATATTGATTTGAGTTATGGGTTAATTACCCAAATAGGAGTAAACATGTGAGATGTGCAAAAATAGGAGTAGGGTTTTAAAATTCCCCAAATAGAAGAGTTTTTTCTTATTGGGAAAAAATACCTTTGAAGGTATTAAACCCTAGCTACCGAGTACCCACTGCCACTTGCAGCCACCAAAGCTCCGCCGACTGCTGCCGCCGCTGAGATTCACGATGTCGTTCTCCGATTGCCACTCTCGTCTCTAGTCGCCAGAGCTTCAACAGAACAAAAAAATCCGATTTTTTTGCCTAGTCTGCCTGCCATCGTTGTCAGACACCGCCCACCGGAGCTCTTCCAACGGCAGTCGCCTCTGCCGCCGCCATCACCGGACAGCCCACTACCAACGGATTGACTCAGTTGCCCAAAAGAACTAGGGGCAATTAATTAATTAGATTAGGGGTATTAAATGTAGAAAATTAATTTTTGGGGCTATTTAGGGAAGATTTGAAATTGTCTTGTTTGCTTTAGCACAAGTTTTAAGAAAGTGGCTGAAAAGGTAAAAGTTATGAGTGAGATTCGAGTAGGAAAAAGGTGAATTGATTTGAGCCACACATTGTTGCCAAAAGAGAAAACAAGACAATTATTTTGGGACATCCCAAAAAGGGAAACCAGACAATTATTTCAGCACAGAAGGTTTTCTAGGTAACCAAACGCGACTTGTAAAAAAAGGTAACCAAACATGTGACGGTAATAGAGCTAGTTGGTTCATGTGATGGGATGAACGTCAGTCTGGACATAAGTGATGTAAATCTTGCTAAATTCGTCTTTGAAGGCAATACGGATAAAAACGAATTCAAGAATATGGAAACTAATAATTCAACCTTTTAGCAGTGTTCTTACAATAGTCCCACCTTTTCGTTGTTCAAGAATAATTCAACCTTTGCACCCCATCTTCATTAGCTGGTCCCTGATCTGTTAATGACCTGCTATTCCAAGTTATTTTCTTATCTTTGCATTATCTTTGTGAAAGTGAGATTTATGGTATAATGGTTTGCAAAGATAAGAAAATAACTTGGAATAGCAGGTTATCAACCGGTTAGGGACCAGTCAATGAAGATGAGGTGCAAAGGTTGGGTTATTCATGAATAACGAAAAGGCGAGACTATTTGAAGGATAACTCGTTGACTCTATAAAATAAAAGAACATAAAGCTCTCAACAGCTTACTCTCAACATTAAACAAACTGACAAGTAGACAAGTAGTTAAAGTAAAGGACTAAAGGGTATATTCATAATTGCAATGGGGCATGTAACCCTGCTTTGTTCGAGGGTCATTACCCTAAAGGTTGTCGTCTAGTACAATAGTAATATTTAATGTCAAAAAAGGTAGCAGCATATATTGATTAAAGCTTTTGACTAATTATACGATGGGAGAAGAGAGGAATAAATAGCCCCTAGTTACAGACATGCGATGTTAGCGGGGGTTAGTTGCACATGGAAGATGTCTGTACTTTACATTTAGTGTGGGTAAAGGTAGTGTTAGGTTTCACACTGCACAGGCATTTATATACCCTAGACTTCTGTGTATGGTGCACAGTAACTCAGGTTAGTGTGTGAATAAAATTAATACAGTTATAACTAGATAGTTATGTAGGAGGGTTGGCCATGAGTATGATACTGCTATGTCAGGTCCATTCCTAATTTGGTAGAACCGTAGAAGTAACTTTGCCTATCAGGGATGAATTTCAGGGGGGGAAGCGACCACCTCTCTTAAAACTTCAAAAAAATCATTACATACACGTTTCCTCGGTCACTAAAAAAGCATCTCACTTTTATTTTCATGTCGTCCAAAAAAAAAATTCATTTTCTTATTTGGTAAACAAAACAGTACCAAACAATGTCAAATCGTGTTAAAACGGTACCAAACAATGTCCTTTTCTTTAATTGTGTGAAACAAATAGGCACTTTTAAATAGGGACGGAGGGAGTATAATATGTAGTATATGTGCAAACTTTCACCTTTATTAGATACTACGGAGTATTTTTTACTGAGAAAAAAAAAAGTATCTAATAAATGTGTAGGTGAAAGTTTGCACATATACTACATATGCAAACATATGTACTCCCCCGTCCCTATTTAAAAGTGCCTCTTTGTTTTACACACATTTATTGGATACTTTAGTCCCTCATTCAATATAAGTTTTTGAATACGGAGTATAATTTTATACTTGTGAATAATATTTAAAACAAGTTCTAACCTAAAGAGACCTAAATCAAAATAGTTTAGTTGAATATTATCATGAAGGTTAATGTTACTAATATCTTGATTTGAACAAAAAATAGAAAAAAAAACTTATTCATTTAATATATAAAAAAGTTTTCGTTCACTAGTATATATAAAAAGTTACTCCTTTCATCCCAAGTAAAGATTTTTCGCTTGCTTCTTTTGAACGTCTCCTCTAAAGAATTCTGACTGTTTTATTAAATATTAGTAGCTAGCAATTTTATATGACAACTTAATAATCAAATATTAAAAATAATGCACCTATAAAGTTCAATATAACACAATTTTGAGTTTATAATTGAAAAATTATAACAAAAATTGAAATATAACCCATATATTAAGTTTATACTTCATATTAAAAGTTGAGTTGACTTAATTCAGTTTCCAATCTTTCTGTAAACACACTGTTTGATGGTACTAAAATTTCAAATATTCTAGCATGAGTAATTGAATGCATTTAAGATATTGTACAATAAGTACAATATTGTATGCACACATCAGTACATCACAATATACAATTCAAATCACTAATTTCATACATTCAAAGATATCATTCAAAAATTATAAAACAGTACTTCTCTGACTACAATAAACCTTGTTAAACAAATTGAGTGTAACTTAACAATTAGATAGTTGATTATAATTCATGATTCATGTAACTTAAAATTTTATTGAAAAGGTGCATGGCCTGATAAGATATAATTATACAAAACAGATAATTCCATGTAGATAAAGGTTTAAAAAAATAATTACACTTCATTTAATGTGCAGATAAACTTGATGAGTCCATGAAGGTATGATGACATAAAGTACTACCCTGCTTACCTTTTTGGGCTGTCTCAAAAAAATTCTCATTTCCGTGTAACTTCATTTAATGATTTGTGTCTAGCATTCATTTACGTTTTTCTTAGTCAATAATAACCACACATTTTTACTTTATTCACATTTTCTTAATAGGTGTGTCAAACCAAATTGGGAATCATTTATGTTGGTAAAAAAGATGATCCTGGCTTTATGCATATAAATCCATGTTTAACTTCTATTTGTAGTAGATTCTTGGTGTCATTATCATATATTCATATGTAAATCATTTATAGTTTTTGACATGCATGGAAAATATCATGAGACACTAGCTGATGGATTGAGATATTGGTAACATGACCAGTTGACCACTATTGAGTATTGACATACTTGACAACAGGTCTCATCATCATCAGAATACATTATACAACACTTCATGGCTGCTACTGGCTGCCGGAAGCTTGAAGGGATGGTAAAAAACATGTATACTACCGGAAAAGTTTTCATGGCAGTGGTGGATGAGCTTGGCTCACCAGGCACCACCACCAATGTTTCACAAAAGGGTTGCTTTGTTATGTGGCAAATGCTTCCTAGCAAGTGGCTCATTGAGCTTGCTTTGGGTGGTCACAAAATTGTAGCAGGCAGTGATGGCAATGTCGCATGGCGTCACACTCCTTGGCTCGGAGCTCACGCTGCTAAAGGCGGTGTCCGCCCTCTTCGCCGCGCTCTCCAGGAAAGCTACTCACACAACTGCTATACTCTTTCCTTTCTTTCCACAAATAAACCTTAAGAATCTTAATATATATAAATAAAATAGAGACCGTTTGGTGACTTTGGTCACTTTTGTGGAGAAATGATTTGGAAAACAGGTCATGTTAAGCTTATTTTATAGTGGTTGTTGTTAGGCATAAACCTTATGACTTGCTATCTATTAAAGACTTCAATTTTTTGGCTTGAGTTTGGCCTGTTTGAGCTGTTTAATCTGAAGTTGTTTACCAAGCCTATTACCAAAAACACTTCTGTCCTATTCGACATTGCCAATATCGAATTAGATGTGGAATAAGAAAAGTTAAAACTGTATGATTGAGGTATGTGTAGAAGAGACTAACCATTTTCAGCCACTAATTCAACATTTCACAACATTCATCCATTTTAACTTTTAAGACGACACAAACGGGCTTCCAGTTTGGCCACATTGACTGAAATAGCTTAATTTTACTTGGCAGGGGCTTGATCCTATGGCTATTTCAGCTGTGTTCTCAAAGGCAGAGTACATGGGAGAAAAACATATATTGGGAGTTGACTGCTTTGTCTTGAAATTATCCTCCAGCCGCACGGACCTCGTTGAGCGTAGCGATAACACGGCGGAGATGATAAAACACGTAATGCTCGGTTACTTCAGCCAAAGAAGCGGTCTGCTCATTTACTTGGAGGATTCATACCTCACCCGAATCCAGTCCCCGGGTTCTTTGGCGACATACTGGGAAACCGCAATGTGCACAAGGATAGAGGATTATCGGCCTGCCGAGGGAGTGATGGTTGCTCATTCTGGCTACTCAAGTGTCATTATTACAACATTCGGAGACCATTTGAAGCCCGGTCCTGTCACGGTTCGTATGCAAGAAACATACACCATTGATGATTTGGCGTTTAACGTCCCCGGCCTTTCTGTAGACTCCTTCATCCCTCCTGAAGAACTCCAGAGAGGCTGTCTCGATGAAAATGTTCATTGGAGATGCCCATTGCGTCAATAACAAGTTATTCTTAGAGGCACTAACTTGAAGTTGTCGACTATAAAAGATGACAATTTTCTTATATTTTTCTAAAAGTGTATATATAGGCTATGATCTTTGGTGGTCCTATAATGTGTTGGGCCTGAGACAGAAATTTTTGGAATAAGCCTTTAACCTTTCTTTTGTAGTGTAAACACATTTTCAAATGTAATCCTTTTTTTGTTATAAATAGTTCATCTCATTATTCAATCAAATTGTTCAACATCAGACTACCGATACATCCTCATGTCAGTTCTGTGTTCATAATCAAAACTACATCGTGGCTTAGAAAAGCCTACCCTGCTAAAGCATGAGCTGATGAGCAACACGATTCGTAGAATGCTTATAAAAAGAGAGAGAAATTATCTCATTCCGGTAGAAGAACTAATGTCATCCAAAATTAAATCTATATATGCTAGACCTCTTGAACTTTGAAACCCCTGAACCACTCAACCACTAATAGTGCATTCGTTTCGCATCCACTTTTTGTCACCCTTTCTGAATTGCACCGTTAATAGCTACCCGAACCCTTATGGCTTCAGTCTCTGTAATCCGCTTGCCTAGCTTCACTTCTGCCTCTTTATAAAAGTACTTCCACATTTGATTGTATGGAGCCAATGACTCACTATTTTTTTTATTTAGTAATATGATGAAATAAAGCAAAATGACTCTCTAAAATGTCTAAGCTTCTTTATTATGAAACAACTAGTCCATGCAAATTTGGACACGATTTTCACTATAAGTCAACTGAAACAGTCTCTTTGTGCTTTGGTACAAGGGTAAGACTGCGTACATCCGATCTCCCTTACCCTACCATAGGTGGGGGGTGATGATGATGATTTGATTATATGAATGTGTCTGCACAATTTCCTCCTCTAGAATCTCTAATATCAAGGGACCATGTGTGATTATATGAATTAGTCTGAATTAATCTCTAATAACATAGTGACATTATCTTCCGCATCATTCACCAGAGACCATGTGTTCATGAAATAAATTCACACCATTCCACCACATTGTTCACTTGTTACATGCTATCCTTAATAAATAGTTAAATACATAAACTTCAATTCCTCCGTTCTTTTTTAGTTGCAACATTTCCATTTTCACGTTTGCCAACGTGCAACTATGACCGTCATTATATTTAATTCCGTTTGGTAAAAAAATTAAAAATTATACTACGAATTCAATAATATTATTTTCATGAGACGAATTCAATAATAGTTTTCAAAAAAAATAATTATCATATATTAATAAATAAAGTGTAGTCAAAGTAGAAACAAACGGATGATAATATATATTGCTTCTTTCTCAAATAAATAAATATAAAATATAATAAAAAACTAATTCGAGATATTCAATTAAAAATAAAAACCTATAACAAATACTCTCTCCGTCCCAAAATAAACTTCTTGTTTGCTTTAGCACAAGTTAAAAGAGGAAAGCAGACAATTATTTTTTGGACGAACCGAAAAGGAAAGTAGGAAAGTTATTTCGAGACGGAAGGAGTATGAAGGATTTAAATATTTTTAGATATGAAATTAGATATTTTTTTAGATACGAAATTAAATATTTTAAAATAACTCACAACTTAGTAAAATAAAAGATTGAGCATTTGAATGATTTAGGAATGTCACAAAAACCTTCCAAAATCATTCCTCAATATTATTTAAACTCTCAAACGTAACTCAAATAGGAGGGTCATCAACCCTCAAATGTTCTCCCCACCCTCCCAAGAACCAAATCCCAAACACACCCTTACTGAAAGTAATAATATTAGGGATAGTCATTTACAATATTTAAAATACTTACAAAGAGACTATAACTGCTTAGATTAAATCTAAGTAGTTGTAGTCTCTTTGTAACAACAACATCCAATCCTTAATCCCAAAAGATTTTGGGGTCGACTAACATGAATTAATCCATGATATTGATGTCAAAAAGAGAAGACAAACACGAAGAAGAAAAAGAAAAGGAAAAAAAAGTAAAATAAAACGGATAAAATAAAGATAAATAAATACGGAGTATAAAATAAAAATAGCATAAGAATATAAGAAAGATAAAAGATAAAAAGATAAAAGAGTATAAAAAGCTAGAAGATAAAAGTTGTAGTCTCTTTGTAGCACTACAAAATTTAATTTGGATTGATTTGTTTTGGTATTGATATGTGTGTGATAGGTTAGGTTCATCTTAACGTCACACTAAAACACATATTTGAAGAAAATTACTAAAACATTATTTCTTTTGCACCAATACATAGTCAAGATTTGAAAAGAATTGTTACAAAGGTTTCTAGTTTCAGAAACTCATATGCACCGTAGTCCGTTGGTCAAGGATTTGAGAGGTGAACATTTCAAATTAATCTGAAAAAGATTTAAAATTATCGAATTTTGCTACCCCATTGCTAGAAAGTTGAATAATCACATGAAAATAAATCTCAAATTATTAATTAAAAAAACTGACGCGTCATCTTAGCCGTTAGTTAGAATGGTGTGAAGGGGGTGGCAAAAAGAGAGCTTCAGGCTATCTTCCTAACTTTCATCTCCCTTACCTCCCCCTTTTAAAGCCCCAACCAAACACTCTTGCTTCTTCTCACTCTTTATCTCCTTCTTAAATCTAACCAAACTTTCATGATAGATTAATGGATTCAAGTTTGTTAACTTGTTTTTTACTTTCTTTTTCCCAAAAAAATTAAAAAAATAAGGAAAAAAGTAGTGGGTGGTTAGCTAGCTGTTTGTCTATTGCATTAGTCTCCTCATTTTCCTTTCACTCTTTTTCCCCTCTGCAAAAATGGAGGCTCTTTATCTTTCTCTTTCTTCTTCTTCTTCCTCCTTCATTGTTCCCAGAAATAAAGCTTGTTTCTTGATCAGAAACCAAGAAGTATACCTGCCAGCATTGAGGGTCAAGAACATGGTATATTGCCAGGGTGGCAGTGGGAACAACGTTGTGAAATCTAGTAACATGTCATCTGTTGTAACAGAGAGGGCTGTCTCCGAACAGGGAAGCAAGGCAGCACTAATGGAGGCTGCAGGTACTTTGATTCTGGCGCCAAACGGGAACGTCCAGCAGACAGATGTTGGGATGAAGGATTTGGTTCCTTTTGGTGGTGGGAGTTCGACACCTCTCGTTGAGAAGCATGATGATGGCATCGGCATTGTGAAGTTCATCCGTGGAAAATCATTCCTCGTCACCGGTGGAACTGGTTTTCTAGGAAAAGGTAATTAATTACTTAATTAATTATCATCTTGAACAATTTAGGTTTCTGTTTGGTTACGTTTTGGTTTTCTATTTTCTAATTTAATTCTCACTTTTTAAAACAAAAACAATGTTATGTGTTTGACTGCATTGCTTTCTCTCCGATTTCTGGAAACACAACTGAATATTGTATATTTTTGTAAACTATTAAAGTAGGCCTAACTAATCCAAAACATCATTAAAAGGTGTAGCCAACCAGTCTGGATTATAGATCGGGTAAACATTGGACGTGGTTGTCGGATACTTAAAACGTCCCAGCAGCCCTAAGAAGCTACACAACTTGAGGGTTGGATAGTTTGGCCAAACAGACCCCATACATGTTACTCACACTATGAGTGTCAGCAAACAAAATTAAGGAATCTGGATCATAGTTTTACTCTGTTACCATATTAAATTAGGATTAAACTCGCCCAAAAGGACCCTCAAGATAACATGTAGTTTACGTAACACTTGGGTATTAGATTAGATATGGTAGACATCCAATATGGGATACTTGACATAAACAAATAAGAAAAATTCAATACAAAACGAACGAAAACAAGAAACATTGCTAATCAAACCTTAACATGTTCATACATCTTGACTTTGTGCTTCCCATCTTCTGATACATTCATGACGTGTACTGAAATTCCCATGTTTCTTCATCTCATTATCAGTTCTAATTGAGAAGATACTGAGGACAGTGCCTGATGTGCATAAGATATTCATCTTGATCAAGGCAGAGAATAAAGAAGTCGCTATGGAGAGATTGAAAAAAGAAGTACGCTCAAGGAACACCCTTCCCTCCCAGGCCATTTCTTCTTTTCATCCATACATCTGTTTGCCTTTCTTCTTTTTTCGATTGTTCTGGCTTACATCATTGACGTATGCATTTTATATAGATCATGAGTGCTGAACTCTTCATGTTTCTGAAACAAACATATGGAAAATCATACCAAGCTTTCATGCTGAACAAGTTGGTCCCTGTCGTCGGGAATGTGTGTGACTCTGGGCTTGGAATGGATGAACACACAGCTGAGATGATCGCCAAGGAGGTCGACGTCATAGTCAACTCTGCAGCTAATACAACTTTTGATGAAAGGTCAATAATGGGATTTATTTATGTATAGAATAACTTGATAAAGTATTACTACTCAGTAACTACCTATGGAAAAAGAAAATGTTAATTTGAAACATTAGAAATAAACATTCAACTGACAATGACTCATGACCAATTAAATTAGTAACAGGCATTTGGCCAGTGCCTCTTGGGTTAGTGTGTTGGTAGCATTTATGTCCTAAAATAAAATAAAATATAATAAAAAATTTATAATGGATATTTAATTAGTATAGAGTAACATTTAGGAAAAATCCCTTTTATTTATTTGAAGAGTCCTGCTTCTGATTATTTTGTTTCACTAGAAAGTTAATTTAATGATTTTTCAGATATGATGTTGCTCTAGATATAAACACGGAGGGGACTAATCGCCTAATGAAGTTTGCTAAACAATGCCAGAAGCTCAAACTCTTCCTCCATGTATCAACAGGTGGGTTTTATTCATATATAGCTTACCAAATGAGATTCTTTAGGCTGCACTCTTTTTAATTACAAATTCATTGAAAGGACAGCTTATGTTAATGGACAACGACAAGGAAGAATCATGGAAAGAGCATTCAACATAGGTGACAGCATAGCAGGCGAAAGGGTGGTCAATGGAACTAATAAAAACTTAATCCCTAAGCTGAACGTTGAAGATGAGGTGAAGATGGTTATGATTGCTAAAGAATCACTCCAAGGAAATGAAATGGCTCAGAAAATGAAAGAACTTGGCCTAGAAAGGTAATGAGTCTATAAAACTTCTTTCTTTTTCTATTTGAAATGGAAAATGAAGAGTCCTTAAAAGATTTTTTTTTAATTTTATACCGTGTACATATATATACTCAGAGCAAACAAATTTGGATGGCAAGACACTTATGTATTCACAAAGGCAATGGGAGAAAT